AGTTTGGTTTTCTTTCACATGTAACAACAGATAAATGACAGATTGCTCCAAGAACACACAGTTTTAACTCTAAAATCTACTGTCCCTGTAGGAAGTTGTGCAAAATCATGAGAACTTCCTTCTACCATATACAGTAAACCTGTTCATTCTGTATTTGTATCGCTTTCAACGTCCCAACCTGCTGTTCTCATAACGAAGTTGTGAAAACAGCAGTTTATTCATTAGCCCTCCTTCAACTCGCAGAGGAAAAAGTGGTTCAAGTTCCACAGTTTATATCAATATCGCGCTCTGCGTGTAAAAATGATCGACTCAATTTTCGCACTAGTCGGCAAACAACAGCAGGTTAATTAATGCGGCGGCGAAATCAGGCTTTTAATCAGAACCTTAAACTGCTCTGTGTGATCTGGTGAAGGGTGCATGAGTGGCCTCACAGAAACAACTGATTGCACTGAAATAAACTGATAAAATTCTGCTTCCCTGATTATTTTTTTTAACCAATTTTTTTCATCATCAGGAAGTCACAGTCGGCAGTTTGATTCACTGATCTTTTTATAGAGTCTATCATTAGCTATTTAGTTAACTGACTAAGTTCCATTTACTCTCACTAATAAAGCAGTTCGGGTTGGGGATATCATATTTCAACCTGTTTTCACTCCCATTGCCTTAAATACTGCCTTTTTTTCAGACCTTAGAGATACGCAGCAGATGTAATTTGCCATTGGTGCAACTCACATCAACATCAACACCTATAGACTTATAGTTGTAGGACTTTCCCCCATGAAACTAAGGTTTGTGTCCCATTATTGAACCTATAATTCTTCACTTAGTTTCCTTTTGTTTCGTGACATCAGTGCCATTTTAACTCACTACATCCTCATCAAACACATGTTGCAGGTGAAACTTCCAGCAACAAAACCAGCAGAGAACATTTGGTTACATCTATTTCTGGCATTCATTCGTTTCCGTGGGTTTACTGAACCACCCTGTGCTTTGAAAAATGACACTAAAGTGCGCCCGGTGAATTGAAATGTGACGATCTGACAAAGTGGCCGTGAGTCCCACACTCCATGGTTTCAATATGCTAAATGATTAGAGCCGGAGTGTGGGGCTTTTACCCGTAAACGAGGGTCCGTTACGTGCTGATTAAACCTATCAGCGCCTGGTAAATCTCAGTGTGTTGCAAAGTATAGTGGAGGAGCTTTAAATCTGAGGTCTGTGGTGTGTGTTTAACGCCAACCACCGACTGATTTGCCAGTTTGAACGGAGTCGACGAGCAACTTCAAGAAAAGAGTCTGATGCCCCAAATAGAAAAGAAATCAGAGGAAGGGATGTAAAAGGGTATATATGTAATAAGCAGTAGTGTTTGTGTAATTACTCTCACTGCCAGAAGGGGGAGACAAAAGTTCTGCAAAGCAGGAAGCAGCCAAAAATATTTAGCAAACGTGCTTCATCAGGATTGTGGTTTGAGACGACTGAACTGGCCTCATCAACGTTATTTCACTGACATCACGTTTTGATTTAAAATGCATCTGACATCAACTTTTTTTTTCCAAATGGGAAGAGCTTAGGGGGAAAAAAAAACAAGTAGCAAAATGAAATTCAAATCTTGGCAGAAAATTGCATTCATGTCGGACCTCATAACACGTAGCCGGAATAATAAAACAGGTCTTGGGGGCCTTTAATTATTTGAGACGGATGCTTCATGTTTTCTATGAATGACGAACACGATCGAGCTAATTAGCGTTTCAACCTAAAGCTTCGTCACAGCCGCTGATTATAACCTCTTATAAACTAAACTGCTGCAGCGTGTGGGTGACATAACGAGTAAATAATCAGTCCCAGGTTCACCAGAATTACAGAGAAAAAAAAACCACCGTAATGAGAAAGTGACGCCTGCTAGTGAGAAAAGGGCAGCGCAGAAAACTCACCTTGTTCACTATTGATTGTGCGGCGTGGATCATTTCAACAATTCAATTACAGCAGAAGCCTTTGTAGCAGTAAATTGATCTCCTTTTCTTTGGGTTTTTTTTCATTTTGTATACATCATCGGTACAGCCGCTGTGAAGAGCGGGGCCTCCCGTCGTAACACAGTCGTGTTTGCTAAACTGCCTCGGCTGGAAATCATTTCTTACAGGACCCTGGGTACCTGACACCGACCCACTATTTGTATGCCTGGCCATCCACCTGCTCATCCTAGTAAGCTTGTGATTGGATGTTGGCTCGTTTCCAGCCTGTGAGGCATCGCGGCTGCCTTCTAGGCATTAAACCCTAAAGAGCTTTGCTGGAAAGCACTGAGAATATTCTATTTCAATGTGCCACTTTGTAATTCACTTTGGAGGAGCCTTTACTGAGTCGAATAGAATTTAGAATGACTCCAGTTCCTAAAATCAGAGGAAACAATCTTCCACAGAAATGTTTGGCATTCCGTCTCAAAGCACTAAAAAAGTGTCGTGGATATCGGTGGCTCTGGCGGGACCATTCCGAGTGTTTCACAGAGCTGGTGAGCGGCGATGCTAGTGCTGCCGTTGTAGGGTACAAGCAGCTGCCAAATAGCCAGCAGAGAGCTGCTCATTCATCTCCTGCAGTCTTTCCATGTGACACTTTCCTCCCTTCCATCTCTTCCATTTGCTCCCTTATTAGAGAGTGTGAAGCGGTGTTTGAATTTGGTTCCTGGGCCTCTTTCTCAGCTGCCTGCAGTAGCTCAATGCCGAGAAGGAAAAAAAAGAAATATGGGCTCACGGAACGATATTTCACTGGCACCAGCTTGACATTGATGGATAGAGGATCATTAGACATTTGCCAGTTTGCTTGGGCGTAGAGTTATTTTCAGCAATAATGTATGGGAGAGGGAACAGGGGCTGGAGGAGGGCTTCTGGAAAGATCTCAAAGGGCCACGGATTCGAGTTTTGGTGGAGTTTTGTACGAGTCTCGAAGCAAAATGTAGGTGTTGCAGTGCACAGAGGGCCACGATGGAGGATATTACATTATGGGTTCGCCTTCGTAAACCCTGATAGCGTTTGCAAAACACTTGGAATGAAAGGGCAGGATGTTCTGTCCACAACCCTGTCAGAGGAGCTCATACACACTGATTGACGACACATGGTCCTAAATGTACACGTTTCTAACAAATGTCACCGTTCAATGTTTTGAAGTCAGGTATTTTGGTCAAGTTTCCATTTGTACCACTTGCTGATTGCCTTAATTTATTGCTTTCTGCTGAACCATGAATCCATTTAGTCTGTTTTATTGGTTTATCCGTTGGTTTTAGCTGAATACTCCAACAGGTTTTCATTCCGTTTGGTATTTTGTTTATAAATTACTAATAACTAAAAATTTTCCATCATCAACTTTAACTATTTATTCATCAGTTACTTATTACTAGAGCTGTTTATTTATTGCTTTAGGCATACATTTAATCTGTTGCACCATTTTGTTTAACAAGCAGTTCAAAGTCTTCCATACCCATTACTTTTAACTAACGGCATTTATATTTAGTTGTTTAAACAGCTTGTGTGTACTTTCAGCAAACGTTTTAAACTTAAACTGTTGAGTCTTTTTTGTTGTTTACTTTTAGCAGCTTTTTAAAGTATTTGGCAAAATGTTTGGTAATTTATCCTCGATAAATGTTTATTATGTTAAGCTAACAACTTGTTCTGAAAAGTTCATTATTTTAAGCACGTACTGTTTTATTTACTTACATTATTTTCAGTAATTTTGAATTATTTAAATGTTTGTGTACTTTTAGCAAACAACTTTAACTGTTGAGTCATTTTCCCGCATCTATTTATGCTTTTTCATTTATTTTAGCGAACAAGTTTCATTGTTTGTTATGTTTACTTAACAAACTGAACTGTTTATTAGCATTTAGTTCAATAATTGTAATCATTTGTCTCTATTTGGTTTCAACTATGTTTAGTTATTCAGGTTGTTTGCTGACTATTTAAACCTTAACTTTTAGGTCATTTTAGTTATTTGAACTATTTTTGGAATCTATTTAAACCATTACTTCAGCTAAACATTTCAGTCATTAACTGTATCTAACTATTTCATTTACTTTAATTAAATTTAGCTAATTATGATTATCCATTACTTTTGCCGAACTTTTTGAACTTGTACTTTAACCATAATTTTAACTGTTAAAACTGTTATAAACAGGTATGTAGAAGCCAATAATGTAATAACGGCCGTCAACAATTTCCCTGAGGTTTGCACCAAAGGGATCAATAAAGTTCTATTCTATTCTTCTATTCTAACGTAATAAAGTTGCACTTTTTAAAATGTAATAGGTCAATAACGTAATAAAAGTCCTGAACCGATAACGTAATATCTTCTGGCCAATAACGTAATAAGTTCTTATGTTATTGGCCTGGTAAAAAAAAAAGGGGGGAAAAAATGTGTATATACATATATATATATTTGCAAATGTAATAACCAGCCAATGACAGAATAACTTATTACGTTATTGGCCAAAAGTTATCACGTTATCGGTTCATGACTTTTATTACGTTATTGGCCAGTTATTACCTATCACATTTGAAAAATTTTGCATTTTAAAAATTATATTTAAAAAAAAATTTGTTGTACTTTGTGTAGGATGACAATAAAAGCATTCTGTTCTAAAATGGCAAGTTCATCAAGTTATCAGCTGTTATTACGTTATCGGCTCCTACAAGGTATTTGAACTATTCATGCATTACTTTTACTAAACACTAATTCCTTAGTACCTACTTGCTAATTGCTTTTTTACACTTTCATTAGCTACATAGTTAGCTCATTGATAGTTTGCACACTTTCAATCATGTCATTTTCCAGTTAGTTGAGTCACTCTGCGAACTTTCCATTTAACCCTTAACCCCAGAAGTACCCCCCCGGGGGGTACGAGTACTCCTAGTCATTACTGTCTTTTAGCTCTTCCTGCATTTTTATTTCAGCTGACTGGTCCAGAAAGGACGGACATCGTCAGTTAGTATTGACTCAGAGATCTCTCCCTTTCTCTGCAGTGATGGTTCTGCTGATTGTGACCATGCGGCGGAGGAGGAAGGAGCCTCTGATCCTGGAGGAGGAGAGGGACATCAGGGAGAACATCGTCCGCTATGACGACGAGGGAGGCGGCGAGGAGGACACGGAGGCCTTCGACATGGTCACCCTGCGCAACCTCAACGTCATCAGAGACCCCAACGTGCGGCGAGATGTCACTCCGGACACTCCTACCTTCTTTCATTACCCCACAGCCTCCCGCCCGTCCTATAAATCCCTGCCAGACAACGTGGTGTTTCGAGAGTTTATTTGGGAGCGACTGAAGGATGCTGATGTGGACCCATCAGCTCCCCCGTATGACTCCCTGCAGACGTACGCTTTTGAAGGCAGCGGCTCTGTAGCCGAGTCGCTAAGCTCGCTGGAGTCACTAAGTACAGACTCAGATCAGAACTATGACTATCTCAGCAACTGGGGACCTCGCTTCAAAAAGCTGGCCGACCTGTACGGCAACAGCGACGGCACCGGCGTCTTCTCATAGCCCCTGAAACGTCTCCCTTAACACTTCTCAGACTTTAAAAAAAAAATGAAATAAAAGTAATTTATTGTCAGAGAAGATGATTTTGTCTGCCTTAGTGCATTGGAGGGAAAGATTCAAAGACAACACAAGAGATTGAGAGAAAAACACTTTGACTTCAAAGGTTTTTTTTTGGTTTGTTTACCTCCCTGTATGGATTTTCAAAAAAAAAAAGCGTGCCATGGTGAGTTTTGACACAGACTTCAAAAAGTGGCTTGACTTGAGGAGGAAACCTTGTGTGCAAAAAGACATTAAAGGTTTTCAGATTTTGGGCTACAGTCCAACCATTGACTGCCGAATGCATACATGATGGAGCCTTTTTACGAGGAGGCACCTGTCCTTTCATTCCGGCGATGGGCACGGGCCCAGCACTCCTGCTTTGATGCATTCCTTTGCTATCTTTGTGCTACAAAAAAACATCAGATTTCTCATGAAATGCCGTGTCCCTGGAGGCTAATCAGTAGTCACTTGACTGTTCATATGAAATTTGACAGCATTTTGTATGTTCTTTTCTTTTCTTTTTTTTGGGGGGGGGGGACTGGTTTTTCATAACATTTAAATCCGGAGCCACATTTTCCACGGACTCAGTCATACCTCTCCAGGCTATATGAGGTGTAACCGCGCCCATATAGCGCCGATATAAACAACGACGTGCTAAGGAAGTGATGTGAAGACATGAGTCGTGCAAATCATAAAAAAACGAATGACACTCGTCCGTTTGATGTCTCCGCCGGGTGAAACAAGGAAAACACATCATTTCTCTTAACAATACATTTTGCAGATGTTGCAATGTAGTGTTCGTCTCAGTCTGTTTTTTCCTTCCGCCTTTCTATTGCCAAGTCCAATGTATAATTTTCTGAGCTATAAACTGTCAGGATTTAGTTGTTCTGCCTTTGTACTAGGCAGGTGGGCCTGGGAACATCTGCTACATCAGAAAGCTTCGCTGATGGATCAGTCCTTGTTGTGCTTGATTGCGAGATTCACGCCACATAGACTCTAGAAAAAAAAACAAAAAAAAACAGAAAAAAAACGAATTTGTTTCTGAAGTGACAGTCCTTACCTGGGTGAAGTTGTAAGTAAATGAATTTTTGCTTCTGTAGTTTGCAGAGTCCAGCATATATTGTCATTCAGAAATTAAATAAATAATGTCGATGGTTTGAATATTGATGGTGAGAGGACAACACTGTATGATAATCATATTGTGCCGATTTCTTTCTTTTTTTTTTTATTTGATTTGATTTTTTATTATTTTTTTCTCTCCAGCTTAGACGAATTCTGTTCCGGTTGGGTGCGCACATGTACAGCCGATATGTATTATTATTTATTTTGACGAGGCAGAAATGTGCAAATGATGTTTTTATCCTTTTGCTGAAAATAAAAGTTGACATTCAGTTCCTTAAAAAGACCGAACAGATTTCCTTCAGTCCATCCGGTCATGTATGAAGAGACGAGTATATATATGGAGAAACGGGGTTATTTCTGACAAGACGCTCCAATAATAATCAATGATTCTAAAAATGGTGCTTCATTCTCAGTGCATTTGGGAAGCTAACCGGAGAGAGCGTTAAGGGAGGGAGGAGGAGAGGAATTTTCTTTTTTTCATATCTTTTTTTGATGAGCCCTTTTGTAGTTGAAAGCCCTGCTAGAGACGCTCCACAGAGGCTCGTGTGATGACTGGAAGGCTCACCGTCGGCCATTTGAGGAGCATTTTTCGCGAGTTAGCCGGGCCGGCGTGGTGCAGTCAAAGGAAGCTCCATGATAGGGCTGTTCAAACAGCGCATCTCCTGTGACGGCCGACAAAGGAACATGTACACAGTGTGCATGTATGGCTGCAATAACGCTTTCCTTTTTTTTAGTCTAGAAGCATAACTTCAGCCAAGATTTTAGGAATACTGAGGTCACGACAACCCGGATAAGAATTCTATTTTTCACGTATTATATATCCGTGTTTCACAGTTAAATTGTTCTCTCCCTGTAGGGCACTAAATGTGCCTTCAAAGGCTTTATTTTGGCACAAAAGCGTGCACATTTAGGAATATCATCACTAAAAAACACATGAATAAACATTAAAAAAATGTACCATGTGTAATTTTAGAATGTAAACTCCTCTTCACATCATTAAATTCCTCAAATTCCCAGAGATGAAGAACAAACAAGGCTCAGCGGGTTCAGTAAGCTACAGCCTCGCTTGTCTGTCAAGTACGAGGGCCAATTTGCTGAAGACAAGAAGAAGACGTGGGGTTTCCTGTTGTGATTTACAAGCGCTTGTTTTAAAATGCGTCTCCCCCCGATGATTGCGATTCAAAGGCCGTCTCTGTACAGTTCAGTCGGAAATGTAGTCGTACTGCTTAAGGTTTGGAGATCAAAACGGGAGGAAATCCGACGGTGTCACGTGATCCGCGGTTTTGCATCTTTATAAATGGATGTCGGTAGGTATTCAACCACCGCTGATCAAGAGCATCCCACAAGCCTCCAGCCCAGCTGTCTGGCCTCTGATTTGGTTCAGTCAAAGCTGCTCAGATCTTTCCACCTGCCCTTTTCTTCACTGTCCAGCACGCTGACTACTCCAACCAACTATTTTCCTGCCTCTAGCTATCTCTAACATCTTAACAGTCGACCCTTTTTATTGGATACCCAAATGGAAACAACTGTGAGGCTAAAACTCAAGTGTGAGACTTCATTGGAAAGGCAACATCTTATAGATTTCGAAAACATGTTTGTTTAGCAACCAAACTTCGAAAGTAACACAAAAAAAGTCTTTTTTTTTCATCGCCTTTAATTACAGAACCATCTGCGTCTTGTCATTATGTAATCTTTAGGCGTCAGGGTTTGTGGTGTCCCTGAACTTCCATAAAACGTCTCCAAACGGCCACATTTTGCTTTTACTCACTTCTATAACACCGGAGAACAAATGACAATGAAGCATCCTGATGACTATAAAACTTTCTACCCTCATCGCTCAGCCCTGTTGACCTTCTCCTGCTGTTCATTATGCCGTCTGTGTTTACAGCATAAAAGTAGGGAAATAGCTTGTTTCGAATGCAACCAAGCAACTCCCGCATAGGGCCGCAGGAAGAGGAAAAGGGCTACAATCATGAATGATTGACTTGTTGATAGTGAATAAAGAGGCGATGTCCCTTCCGACGTGCCCTGTGGTGCCTTATCTCGGAAAAAAAATAACGTGCAGCAGTCTACGGCGAGAGACACGTTTGTCAGTTTA